TCATGTGACACTGAAGGTCAGCGTAATTGTTGCTGAAGATTCAGTTTTGCCATCACAGGAATAAATAGCATTTTTTAAATATTAAACTTCATATCACACACACGCTATCTTAAAATAGAAAGCAGTTATTTTAAATTGTAATAAGTAAATCTTTTTAAAAAACATTGAAAAATGTAGAGCAGGATTTGGAGCCAATGAGAGTTTACTGTGGGCTTCATGGTATAATGATGCAGAAATAGAAACTAAACAAACTGTTTTTGTTGGTTGCTTGTCACAGCTAGTTTGGACAAAAAGCAGTCTTTATTGGTTATGACTTTATCGCGTCATGTCTAGTTAGAACACAGTGTTAGAGTAATGTTTGTGATGTTATGAATATCATCATTTTATGTCTCTCACTCTCTATTTCCATGCATTTATTCTTGTCACTGTATCTCTCCTAATCACTTTGTCTCTCTCATGCTCCAAGCTTTCATTGGATTGAAATGCAATTCATTCTTTTTGCTCATTGAAAAGCACTTTGAACTGTATCACATTCCATTGCCACTACTTGCACTGTTATTTTGAAATATATTCCAGTAAAATGTAGAAATAGACTGAGAGAGCTTGGAAGAGAAAGTGTTTTCTGATAAAGTCACTAAAGGTAATGGCGATACCTGTCTGATGCTGTGGCTGGGCTATTCAGTATTGCCCAGCTTCCTGAACTTATTAAGAGTTGATCTGAAGAAATATTGAGTATTGTGTATCATGGTGGATGCATTGAAAGGATGTTTATGTAGTCAGTATTGATTGTACGAATGCATTCAGCAGCATGTAGAGAACACTGATGGCTCAGAGACCACATTAACTCTGAGTACTGACTTATGGCAGAGAGGAGAGAGCCTGTTGCCACGGATACCATTCGCTCTCTCTGTCTCTCTATTGCTCTTTCTCAGATTGCAATGTTGTCTCTCTTTCTCTCTTTCTATGTTCCTCTCAAACTCTTTTGCTTCTTTTGCTACACCTACAGGGGTCCTTCACAGTGAGTGTGTCTGACATGTAGGTAACCGTGCTGCTTTTCAGAATATTCCTGTCATTTGCAATACTTGGTGGCATGGTCAAAAAGACAAAAGAGGTTCTTAAATTTAAAACTTAAACAAGTAATCTAATTAGGGTGAATCGTACACAGAATCATGTCACATTCTGTTAAATCTGCTATTCTAAATGTAAGGTCATTAACAAATAAGTCTTTTGTAATTAGCCAAATTATTGAAAACCATAAGCTGGACATCATCTTCCTGACAGAAACATCGCTTGACAGTAATCATAATTTTGTCCTAAATGAAACATCTCCACCAGGTTTTAGATATTTCAGTGTCCCCAGACTTAATAAGAAGGGTGGTGGGGTTGCCTACCTGTTCCGCAATACTTTGTGCTGTCAATATATTTCACTGGGAGATTTTGAAACATTTGAATACCTTGCAGTGCACCTGAAGAGTGAACAGTCTATTATTTTATTAGTTCTATATCATCCTCCTAGACTCAACAAAGGCTTTCTTGATGATTTTGGAGAACTGCTTTCTAAGATTTTAACTGATTTTGAATATGTCTTAATCACTGGTGACTTTAATATCCATATGGATGTAATTTCGGATCTATCAACTGTTAATTTCACAGAGTTACTAAACTCATTTGGCCTTATTCAGCATGTAACTGGCCCCACACACAAACATGGTCACACACTCAACCTGGTAATCTCATGTGGCCTAACTTTCAGCCACACACAGATTGTTGATGTTGCCATATCTGACCATTATTGTGTCTTATGTGAGATTGCAGTATGTACCAACACTGTGAGTGATAAGAGAACTGTCAGTAAGCGCTATCTCTCTGCTGATTCTTCCACGACCTTCATGGAGCTCATGTCATCTCTCCCTCCTCTCACTTCCCCCTCAGTAGACACTTATGAATTTTAGTCTCAGGCTGTCCAAATTTATCGACTCTGTTGCACCTGAACAAAGACTGTCTCTGGGACAATTAAAACCCGATGGAGAAATAGTACACCCAATGTAAAATTAAGAGAGACTCCAGGAGGGCAAAAAGGCAATGGAAGCGCACAAAGCTTACAGTTCACCATGACATCTATAAGACTCATCTGAAAATGTTAAATAATGCAATGAGATCTGCAAGAAAAGCTTATTTTTCAAGTTTAATTTAGGGGTGCGCCGATCCGATATTCAGTATCGGTATCGCTCCGATACTGGCATTTTCTGCCGGATCGGGGTATCGGTCAGACGAGACTGATCCAAATCCGATATTGTGCGTATACTATTCTGTGTTATTGTTAAGCCCCACGAAAGGCACAAAATCATTATAAAGCACCATAAAGTTTCCTTGCACTATATTTCAAGTGTTCTGAGAGCGTTCCATAGGTACAGATGAATATTTAAGTCGTTAAATTCAAGTTCTCATAAACTCTTCTCTCCGCTGCGGCTGTCTGTCATCCTCCATTCAGCATTCAAACTGCATGTCGCGTTTGGTTACGACAGTCAAGACGATAAAAATCTATCCAAGATGATTCACTGTTCCTATTATTATACTTGATCTGTAGATAAAGATTGGTGGTTTTGCAAAAAATGACTTTATCTTGCTGCAGTTTAGTGCTGTTTCTAAAGCATGTTAACGTTGCCGGGTGTCTGTCAGATCATGGAGTAGAGAGCACTATGAATTGTTCTTCATGCGCACAGTAACTGAAATTTAAAACTGTTTGTTATTGTGAATTGTACATTTTCTATCCTGTAAAGCATTTTGTAAACACTGTTTTAAAATGTGCTATATAAATAAAGCTTTACTTACTTATAAAAGCTAAAATAATGTATCCGTGCAGGGGAGTGTCACACCCCCATTGGACTGTTTGTTGTGGTTTCTCCCTCTTGTGCCCTTATTTGGGCGTCATGCACTCATGATTTTTGAGGGGGTGGGGGGTCTATATCAGTTATACGATAGCAGTATAACTGGTGTAGGCTTATGTTTTATTTATTTATTTTTTCCTTTTTATTCGAAATATTTCCAAACATGTAAACTATATCAGGAAATATCTCGATTCTCAAATATGTGTAAGTAAATGCATTTTGCACCGTTATAGATTGTTATTTGATCAATAAATAGTGATGGGCAAAGTAGACTAATAGTGTAATCTATTAACTACACATAAAAACCCGACTTTTTACTTAAGTACCAGATATGGGTGTCATGCAATAAAATATTTTTAATTCGACTGACTTTGTATTTAATGTGAATTTAATAACAATATTGTAAGTTACTAATTATAACACTTTAATTTTACAGAGAGCAAAGAACATTTACATTAACAAAGAACATTTTCATTCAGTCTAGCAAGAGTTCAGGCACTCTCTCAACAGAATCGTGTGTGATTGGTTATAATGCAGCGCTGTACAAACGCGTCTTGTCTCTGGTTCAGCGCCAGCCAAAGCGCGAACGCAGATTTAAATTTAGCAGCTGATGCTGTGCCGCACTGAAAGATCTAATCACACAGGTGTTATTGTATCAAATATAAAAAATACTATTCTGCTATTTTTTGTCTTTTGGAAGCTGAATTCAAGATCCACTTGGCTCAGAAATCTGAGGGGGCACATACCCCCTCACTTTGAATGGGCATGACGCCTCTGTATCCGTGTATTAAGTGACTCCAAATTAACTGTTGAGAAGTAAATAAGGTGAGATGCACCAGCAACAATTTTTTTTAAAGAAATACTTTGTGAAATGGCAAAATTATAGGCAAAACGTATAAAAAAATACCATAGGGAGGGATGTCTGATTCATTTTAGATTAATAGCTTTACTATGGGAAAAAGGTCACTTTTTGCATTTAAAAAAATTATTTATTAAAAGTATTAAACACGCACAGAGCATGTGCACAAGATACTTTCTTTTTGAAGATTATACAGCCTATTTAGAACATTGTTACTTTTGAAATGTTCCTCTTTGTATTTATCACATTCTTTTATTCATTCATATAAATAACCTTAACATACACTGTCTATTTTACCAAAACATATGTTGAATTTATTGTTTATGCCAATGCCAACATGTTGACACTAGCATTATGCTACTAGAACAAGAACCCAGCAAAGTCTGGGCTTAATTTAATTAACACAAACTGAGGGAAAGAAAGGCACAGAAGAGAGAAAGACTTCCCCAGAGGTCTGTCCTCCAGCTGCCTGTTCTATTTGTACTGAACTCTCTCTATCTTCTCTGTCCTAAGCAGATTTGCAAAGCAGTAGGCCTACATCTTTTATGTACTGTTTTTCGTCCCCACACACACTGGCAGAAATTGGCAGGTGCCTACATTGCAAAATCCAACATTTTTCTGTACACATGCAAATCAGTGGCTGACTGTGAACTCACAACCACCAGGGTTCCTGAGAACATCTTGTGAACTGCTGCTCTCTTTGTTTGACAGGACAAGGCAATAGTCTTCATGCACTCATTGGCTGTGTGTTTGTGTGTGAGGGAGGGAGAGAGCTCATCTTTTACACGTGCACACTGAAACACACTCTAGGGGTCCCACCACCATGAAAACCCTTGAAATATTATGAAAATGTCTATAGTGAGTATAGATTTTTTTTTTTAAATCCATAGTGGTTCAGTTTGTCAGATTTGTGAGGGAATCATTCTTTCGACTTTTTAAATGAGTAAGTCAAACAGGTTCCAAACTCTATAGGCTGTTTTGATAATGTACTATAAGACTTAAGAAAATTAGGAACTAGGATTTTAACAATTTAATAGTTTAATTGTTTTTATGGTTTGTATGATTAATGACGTGAAGTGAAAAGTTTTTATTTACTTAAATATGTGCTGTGTTTGTGTTTTTTTAAAGTATGTGCTTTTCAAGGTGAGCACAGTAACAGAGTGTGATCTCATGTTAATTGGTACACCAATGACCAAACATCAATCGCACAATCTGTCTTAAGTATGTACTCTTCCTTAACCTTCCTCCTCAACTCCGTTTGAATACATGATCCTGGCCACCATTATCGCCAACTGCATTGTCCTGGCCTTGGAGCAACACCTGCCTGGAGAGGACAAGACACCCATGTCAAAAAGACTTGTGAGAACATGCCTACCCACTTAAATATACATAAACCACACATGAAGCATTGCTAAAAGTTGTTTATCCAAATCATTTGTTATAAATGAATCATTTTGGCCTAGTTATCTACTTATAGATGCAGTTCTAGAAATTTGTGTAATTAGAAAACCTACTATTCTGGATCAGTCTAGAGAACACAGTTATCCTCTAAATGTAGCACAACACTTCTCTCTTGTGCGGTCATATTCTTTCCTTCCTCATATTCTTTGTTCTTGACAACTTTATTCAGTAGTTTCCACCAGTGAATCACTCACCACAAGCTAATTATTCCCATTCAAAGAATGTTTCTCTAATGTTTTACCTCTGTGACATATTTCTGAGAAGTGGTTGTTTAAACAGACACAAGTAGTGGAAATCTTACCTCACTAAATAAAACCTCAATTAAAACTAAGATCTTAATAATAGATTTGTTGAATAGAACATTCAAAATCTAATGAGCACCCTACCAAGATGGCATTTTTAGGGCAATTTTGAGTTCTAGGGTTTTTTCTCTCTTTTATATAGGTAGTTTCTGTTGTCTCACACCCAATCCATTCTCTTTTTTCAGGAGAAAACAGAGCCCTACTTTATAGGAATGTTTTGTTTTGAAGCCGGAATAAAAATCATTGCCTTGGGATTTGTATTCCACAAGGGCTCGTACCTGAGGAATGGCTGGAACGTCATGGACTTCATTGTCGTCCTAAGTGGGTGAGTGACAAGTGCTACTATCTTCTGAGTGATGCTGGGTTTGCTGATTTTAAACCTTTCCAGATCAGGGTCAGGCATTTTCATTGGTTTTGAATTTCAGTGTATGGTTTTATTACACCTTTACTTGCAGATCAGAGTTAGTCAGCTGAACCTTTTGATCGTTTCCCTGTATTTTGCATTGTAGAATAGGAGAGTGTTTCCTTGCGGTCAACATTCTGCATTGGTGAGATGTTGCACAACATAAGGCTGTAGATTTGCTGAAATACGCTGGACTTTTGCCTCATTTTACTTCATTAAACTCTGCTTGATTGAATCATCTAGGGAGAGTGTTAACTTTCAGACTAGACTGAGTGGAGAAATGAACAGCACCTTGAAAACACTCCATTGGCAAGAACAGATATTGCATTAGCGCTGTCAAAACAACAGTGTCAAAAAGTGCTCTCCTCAAGGGAAAGGCTGCTGCAGCTTTCATTTACAGAGTAAACCACAATTTAGAAGCCTTAAGGGCAGAAGCCATTTTGCTCAGTACCGTTATGTTCTTCATCTGTTTTTCAGAGAGGACAGCTATCTAAAAGAGAAAGAAGAAAGAGAAGGAAAGAAAAAAGCAGACACACACATACACAGTGCAACGTAACGATACATATGAAATATTAATCGCTGTCATAGTGTTAAAGTACAAAGGGAGATGGGCTTCTTAGAGAATTTTACATGATTTCAGCTCGCTTTCATTATTAATTAAACCTTTGTCTGGTTTAAGTGAGGAAGAAAATTTGAGAAAGACTTTAGCCTCTCAACCCCTATTTCTCATGCGCCCGTAAGATGTATACTGACACCTGACATGCACACACAGCAATAACAACACAACAAACACCCATGTATATAAACCTCTGTGCCTGTAAGTCAGGACAAAGTTGGTTATACACATCATAAAGGGAAGTAATCATCAGAAGCAAGACATAATCATGTTTGAGACAGCATTGGTAGCAGCATTGAGGTCTTGTAATCATAAGGTTAAGACTGGCTGAAGTGTAATTAATTTAATGACTGAGAGTCTAAAAACTCTTTAACATGACTCACATCAAGAAATTTCTCAACACAAATGCCATACGTTGCTTTGACCTCAGCATGTTTCCTACACAATTCTGGTTTTGCTCCCCAGCTCTAAATTGGTCATACTGTACTGTACCTACACTTCTGTGCAAAAGTTTTTTTTTTTAAATAAATCTCTCATGGTCACCAAGGCTGCATTTATTTAATTGAAAATAGTGGTAATATTGTGAAGTAATATTACTATTTAAAAGTTTTGAATGTGAAAATGTTGTATATGTTTTAAAATTTACTTCTGTAATGGTAAAGCTGAATTTTCAGCAGCCATTACGCCAGTGTTCAGTGTCACATGATCCTTCTGAAATCATTCTAATATGCTGATTTAATGTGCTCCTCACAAGAAAAAGGGTTTCTTTGATGAATAGTTTTTATTTACATTTTCGTTTTATGTGGTTTTTTTTTTTTTTGGTAAAAATGCAAAAGATTTTATTGTCACTTTTGATCAGTTTAATGTATTGTTGCTGAACAAAAATATTACATTCAAAAAAATATCTTACTGACCCCCAAACTTTTTAACTTTTGTAATGTATATTCTAAATAAAACAATAATTTTTTTTCATTAATTCATTAGACTGATTCAGACCAATAAACTCTGAGATTGCAGGGTTTTTTAAAAATCTTTTTTGATTGATTCACTAAATAAAATTCATTTGTTCATTAACTGGTCTATATGGTCATACAGCATGATGTTTTTGTTAGCAGCTAGTGCAGACAATGGAATAGAAAGACATTTTGTATAATTATTATCTTTGTGTTCATTTCTTTTCTCATCACATTCAGACTACAAGCTAAAATGAGATTAAGTATCACTGCTGAATAGTGGTGCAGGAAACACTGCTTTACTGGTAGAATTACATATAAAAAAGTGATGGTAACGCTTTAGATTACAGCTCGCAATGTACCGCGTAATTAAACAGAATTTACAGCGTTCCTATTTGTAACTATAGAGTACCTCCACAGTACCTACTCGTAGGTATAAGGGAACAATATGCAACATTTGGGGAATAAGGGGGTAATAACCTGCAAAATTATAAAGCATTTATACTGTAAGTATTTTATAACTAAAGGGCACCTATTCTGAAATTACGTGGTATGTATGACACATAGACCGCAATTTTCCGCGTGAGCATAACTTACAGCTGTACTTAAGTGTAGGTAAACGAAAACAATGTGAAACATTTGGGGGATAAGGGGGTAATGACTTGGAAAAATAAAAATATTTATACTGTTAGTATTTCATAAGTAAGGTGTAACTATTCTAAGATTACGTGGTATGCATGACCTACTGTGTTAGGCAACAATGATTTAGAACAAGTTGCCTTATTGTAATAACACAAAATATATGAT